AAAAAGTTACTGTCTGACAGCAGCAAAAACAGTTATTATCTAACGAAAACATTGAAAATTGTAAATAATAGGTTACTAAAATAATTAATTTGCCAACGAGTCTCGATGGAACGTGAAGACCAGTAATGGAACAAGTATCAGCTCTACAAACTTTAAACTCAAATATGAAGTACTGCGTTTCTTGGCCTCCTCCCTTTATACCGGTAGCGGATGCATAGCTTAGTCGGTGAAGCTAATTGATAACGTGGAGCATGCTGAGCCACCCCAATTATTACGGTACTTTGTAAGTAAAATGATATTCCAAGGACGTTGACCTGTTCTTAGAACGGATTTACCTAACTACTTTATTTCATCTCTCCGATAGTTTTGTACTTTCAGGATACAAGAATTCAGTTTATTACCCATAAATTCGCAATAAACTAGATCGAATACAAAAGGAACATGCAAACTTACATTAGGCCAATAACAAAGGAGGCATTGTGAAAAATGTGAGTGTATAAGTGAAGTAAGATAGAGAACCGCACATTTTTATTCATAAGATTTTAAAAGTATACCACAAATATGGTAATAAGTTAATTGTAAAAATGAAAAGATTGGCCTAGGTCTGCTTCGACAGTGTCGCTACTTATCATACTGCCTGCCGATGCCTGAATCCAATATGTGTTAGAATGAAACTTTATCTTCAGTGACAATGTTTACGGTCAAAGTGTAACAAACGCGAAGAACCAGCTTGAAAACAAGAGGCCGACTACTAGCTCGACTTGTAATCTTCCTAGTCGAAGTGATTGGACTAATGCTGTGATTTCATTGCATGGCTGTAGGCTGTGTAGGAGAACCCTTTATAATGTTCAATAAAAAGCCGAGCAATCATAAGGTATATTCATATGAGAAAAGTTCGGTTTCGGAGGTCTAGCCGGGGTTTTGACTATGCTCTTCTCCACAAGACTTGATCTAGTGGATCGTGCCGTAAGCTTTTGCCTTATGCTACCACGGGCCCACAACTTTATAGCAGTTCAAGAAGGTAGAGGCGGATATGCTGGACCGGTAGAGTTCTGATCGAGATGCTTGACGCTATAGCAAGGCTCCCTTATACACATTCGTGCACTTGGAATTCGGTTTATTTTCAATAGAGAGAATGCCAATCCAAGTTGCCTCAGCCTGAAAATGCCATCTTGTAGTACCGATTTGCCTTGGATCAATCGCTTAGCAAGGTGAAAAATGGCTCAGATGCTACCAAAATCACCCAGGCTTCCTCTTAGGCCTGTTTACCTTAGTCTATGTTTAAACCCTATTTCACTCGAACAATTGTGTAAACTTATAAAAAAAAATGTGATGGATAAAGAGCAACTGTCGCTAACGAATGAATCAACATAGTGCAGTGCAGAAGCCATACAATAGATGCCATTTTATGTTTAATTTTTTTATAATAAATAAACGTATTCGGTTTTCATACTATTTCCGACTCCTTAAGGTTTAAAAATCTTTAAGTATGCATAAGAAATGAAATGTATGAGTGAATGAATAAAAATTTGAATGATTAGAGCTTGCGTACGGGCTTGTGCGGACACCTATATATGAGATGGTAGTTGAAATTTCCCAAAATTATATGAATAGACATTACATTTCCATTGAATCTCACAAAGCCTTGCTTTCCCAAAAGGTTTTCTTATCCAGAGTAGACTGCAGTTTCGATTTCGCCCAGGTCTTATCAACACCTTCAGGAGAACTCGACCCATGGCAGTGTGGCGTATAATCTCGGCACATTAACCACAATGCTACATTGCTACAAGTGCCATTGTGTTGCAGAGCAGATATAAATTTCAAGGAAGGCCAGACATTTTTCTATCGACTAGACTGCGTAAGTAGACTTTCGAAACTAGTAGTGGATGAGAATAACTTTTGGGAGAGCAAGGCTATGTGAAATTCAATGGAAACTTCATGTTTGCTCATAGCATTGTGGTAAACTTCAACTACCAGTCCCCTTATCACCTTAAACGAAATAGGATGAATACATATTATATTTATGATGTACTGGCAGTCTCAAAAGCCTACTTTTAAACGAAAAATATACTGACTTCTATGCTGCTATTCGCAAAAATCTCCGCACCGAGATGACGAAGAAACAATTTGCATACATATAAAGGGATGACCCATTCCACCAGTTTATAGATAGCAAAATAAAGAGCTAGATAGATGAGGATTGGGCAATTGCTACTGACGAGTGTGTTCCACTGAGGTAAAAAATAATTAGGAAGATATGGCGCCGACCAGGCCGCATATGATATTATACTCAGGCGGGCAATGCACTTTATAAGCAGCTATTCAAGGAATTGACCTCAATTGAATCTACGCTTACTTCGGACATAGTCTAAAGTGGGCAGTCCGATAATAATATAATTTGGGCTGTAAATCAAGGGGCCTTAAGGCACAGGGGACGACGGCAAAGACTAAATCATACTCATATCCTCAAGTGACGAATCCTTCTAAATGATGGTGACGGCGGTTCAGGATTGAGTGAGGCGAAATTGAGTGAGACGATGTACTCAGGCTTAGAATTGTCTCCTCGTTCAGGCCTGACTGGAGACTGCACTACATCGACATCCTCCGCAAGGCAGGAATGCTGGCTGAGAGCGAAGAGAGACCAAGCAATTTACCAATCGAACACTGCAAGGCCATGAAGACGATGAGTGATGAGGCCCAAATGATTCTTACGGCAGTTGACAATCGCCTCAAATTGGCCTGTCCTAGCAGCATTGTATTGTAATCAAAAAATGCCTGGGTCATGGCGCCCTGCAGGTTTCATGCACTCTAGAACCTCTTCTTTCTTAATGCGGAGCTATCACCCTATCGGACTGATTTATTGCGTGCATGTGCATGCTGCCTCGTTGCTTTAAGCCTTGTGCACATAAGAGCTTCTGCAATCCTGTCGATTGCAGGCACCAAAGTAGGCTTGTCTACATAGATGCCGAATTACGTATTACATGTTACGGAGGAATACATTGTCCCCGAGATAAGGGTATTCCTCCAACCACCTCTAGTGAGCTTGCTAGAGCTGCTATCTATTGCCGTCGTCATGTCAACAAGCGAAAACTCCAGTTTCACTTTGCAAATCTTCCCCAACTTTTGGAGGACAGGTCTGAGTAAGAGTTTCTTTCAAAAGTACCGTCCGTGGACCAAACCAAGTGTACTGTAAAGTTGGAGCTTTTGCTCATATCACATATGCATACTACCAGAAACAGCCACCCCTCAGCATGAATTTCACAAACGGAATCGGATCAGAAGCAACATTCAGGCCTTGAATTACAGTCGTTGTAGATGCAATTGCCAGTCGGAAGGATGCACTATGAGGCGGGAGTTAGCTGATACTTCCTCTTTGCTTTGTAGATGTTGCTATCAATATGGTCTGAAAATCCTAGCTTTGTCATAGGTATGCTGTAGCCCTGATGCCAAGCTTTGCCTACGTTTGCTTGGTAAAATATATTGGAAGTAGAAATACTTAAGTTGAAATGTCGTCATCTTCCACTTAATTTTTTCCCAGCACCGAATTAGATCAATCATCTCAGGGAAGAGGATCTTAAAAGACCGTTGATTTCAGTGATAGCAGTCAAACCTAGAACCAGCTTTTAAAGGTTGCTATAGTAGGTCCGCCTGGAGACATATAGAAATGGAGGATCATAAACGTTCGAATAGTAC